ATTCAAATATTGATTTAATTGCATTTTGTTTCATAAGTGCATGTTTACTAAGAAATTCATTTTCAGTTATTGCATTTAAATCAATATGAATTAAATTTTCTAATGTTTCAAGTATAATTTGACCAATAATTGTCACCTAGATTAAACAGAAAAGAATTACACCGTAGACCATAAATATTTCCACTTTACTCGAAGGTATTGGGTTGACCTTTTTTATCAATGATAGAAGAGTGTTTGAAATTTTTTTTTTCTCGTAAGAAAATTGTTAATAAACACTACTCTCATTTGTCGACATCCATTTCAATGCGTATGGTGATCTTTCACGGTCTCGAAAAGAAAAAAAAGGGAAATACATGACAACTCATGCATGTTTTATGATTTTAACGTCAGAGAGCAACGAGAAAAGTCATGATAACCTTCATTTAAAAAGTCAAAGTAATCTATAAAAACAAAAGTGGTAGTATGAGTCAATGAAAAATGTTCAAAGTGATGCCCATTAGCATCAATGGACTGTTGTAGTCTTTCACGATGTGAGTATTACAGAATAGTAGACTCACACCTCGTTCAGTATTAAAAAACTGTAGATGCACTCTTATTAAGATCAAAGAAAAGGTAATCCCCGAACTATAGAACAAAAAAAAAATGATCGAGTATATGCGTCAGAAAAGGAATACACACATTAATAAATCTGTTTATATGTTATCTTATATCAGTATAAATAGATGTGTAAGCCGATCGACTGAAACATTGCAATATTTTTAACATATATCAACCACCTCCACCATACAAAAATAGATAGTTGATTTTTTAAAATTTTCTACGTTTAAACTCATTTATCAAAGATGTTCTTGTCTAATGTCCACGCCAGAATTAAAAACGGATGGGCGTTAATTTCATAACCCGATAACGGCAACAGTTAGCAATCTATGCTTTTCAGCAGTCCAAAGCGGAGAACACCGAATGTCGTTTTATCTGATACTACATAAGACAAAGTTTTTAAAAAACCATCATCTCCGCAAAACATTGAAAAAAAAATGCACGAAAATGATTTTCCGTTTCGATGTAATCTTGACATGTACTTCAGATCTATAGTTCAAGGCACGATTCAAGTGATTATCTTCTCACATCTTAATGTTGGCCATATAAAATTGTGTATTTATTCAGCCAAATTATATAGAATTCTATTGGTTTTTAGCAAATTTTCTGACTTTTTATCAAAACTTCCTTGAAACGAAACACTATTTCTATGTTTTTTTTTTTGAATATTTTGCTAAGATGACGAGTTCCAGAATAATTTTGATTTATATAGTATAAAATAAAAAGACGTTCGGAATTTTCGTCTTTCAATTGCTGAAAATCGTAGATCGCGAGCTGTTGCTGTTGTTGAATTATTAAGATTACACCCGCAAGTCTTGAATTCTGGCGCAAAAATTAGTTTCTTCTCAATGGATTCTCTACCATCGCTTTCTATTTTCCTTTCAAAATTTCTCGAAATCAAAAAAAATTTAAAAAACAATTCATCGAAAAATTTCAACCGCCATCACCGATTAATGTATCGGCTTTACGAAACTGCGGGTCCTTCCAAATCCGAGTGCGGATCTGGGTATAGTCTACAAAAATATGAACCCACAACTATATGAAATATTTTTTTATGTAAAAAAAAAAAAACTTTGCACATTTCTCTATCATTCATAAAAAAAAAAAAGCTTAATACCTTCAAGCAAAAAGGAAATATTCAAGGTTCATGATATATTATCATATGAGAAAAAAGTATTCAAATATATTTACCTGATCGGTCATTTTAAACCATAAATATTTATCAAATACCGTTGTTAATACATCAATACGTGTTGTAATTGCTTCTTTAGGGTTTCTATATTTAAGTAAAATATCAAAATTATTTTTTTTGTTAAACTTAGTATTTTTTTTTAATATTTACAAAATGATATGCTCAATAAGTTCTCTTAATGCAAATGACCATTCAGGATTATTTGGTCGAATAAGCTGTAAAAGTTTTGTACATGATTGTTTAATCATTTGTTCACGAAGTGGTGTTCTCTAATAGAACAAATGACAAACAAATAAACATTTTTTTTTTACCCCGAACAATTCTAACCGATATGGATGTTAAACGTTTAATATCAAATAAATGTGTTACTATTGTATGTGGTAAACAGCATAATTTATTTGCTAAATCTTCAAAAATATTTAAACAATCTTCATAAAGTGTTCGTGTTGTTGTTGTACTCTTTCGATCGACCTTCAACAAATAAAAAAAATTTAATAAAGAATAATCAAATTTTCTTTTTTCTATCTTCTACAATTAAATATTGATAACATATTTTCATAATTTCATCCATCATTTTCCATACAGTCATACCAAATAAATTTAAAGCACATGAATAATTTTTATCATTTATAGATTTTAAAAATTGTTGAAAATTTATTAATATAATATTAACATTTGGACGTTTCATTAATACTTGATGAAGAATTGTTAACCAACATAATGGTAATTGTTGAATTCGATTTAAAAAACATTTTCGATGTATTATATCATCATTTGATAATTGTACATGATGTTGAGTTTTTAAACGATATTGATGAATATCAATTAATGTTTGAGTTAAAACAAATAATAATGTTGATAATGGATCAATATCATTATTGATTGGAGTTTCTAATCTAAACAAAATACAAAAAAAAAAAAATTATTTTACATATAATAAAAAAAGAAAAGGTCTTATACCTTTCAACAATTATTCCACATAGAACAGATATGACTGATATACTATGCCATTGAGCTTTGGCTAAATGATTTGTAATTAACTAAATATAAAACAAAAAAACAAAATAATAATCTCATACGAAATGTTGCACCTTTGTTCGTACTACAGTCAGTATACCAATAGGAGAAGAACTATCGGTATATCGACAATATTTATTCGATTTGAATCACATGAGATCCAGAATTTTATGCTCTGGCGTATCATTTGCATTAGCAGTCATTTTAAAAAATTGAACCAATATAGAGAATCATTTATTGTGTTAGACCAAACAAATGTTGATCGATTAATTATGAACACTCGTTGAAATCACAATATTAATACTAACCAATATTCTAACTACGTAGTTCATCTAATTGAATAGACGATCGATGAATTCGCTGGCGAAACGACTTTTTCCTTAACCATTCTATTCAAGGAAATAATTTTCTTCCAAATAAGTTATAAACTCTTTTATATCAATTTGAATCTAAGAAACTTTTACAATAACGTTCTGTAATTGATAGAACTATTTTGTAAAACTTGTATATATAGGAAGTGTAAGTTGTAAGTCGAAGTTTTGTAGCTCTCTCAGCTTCACAGACCTTAATAGCTGAGAATTGAAGACACTGAACGACTTAGAAGATTCTGGAACCTTCCTTGAGATTTAAGTGGCTGAAACTCACTTATCAATATTCTAAATAACACAGTTTCTGATGTTTTGCGTAAATAAACGATTATATGATAGACATCAATAATAATGTTTTGACTTCTTACAACGGTCATATAATCAACATAGCAGCATGAACAGATTAAATTCTAACTCATTAAGATCTACTGTAGACATAACGAATGTGTACAACAGGTTTATTTATTCATTAAATCAATACTAAGACTAATAATAAATATAATAAATTATGAAAATGAAATAAAAAAAGACATAGCATTTGCTGATAATCGATTATCATTCGGAATTAACTATCATCCGTTCTAGATTTTACATTTTGCCTATTTTATATTAATATAATAAAGTTAAAGAACACATGTAAGCTCTACATTTCAGCCTCAAAGGAGTTGCACTAACAAGTTTTTTTTCGTTAAATTTTACTATTTATTTTAATTAACATCAAATAGAACGATTAGATATTTGTATAAATCTCTAGTAAACAAAATCCACTAGTTGATTTCTATTACTATTTACATCACATTAACTCATAATCAATAACATACTTGCAATAATTCTGTATTAATTCCAGTTGAAAATGTATATTTATCATGTAAATCAACAATATTTTGGATAAAATAATGTATTAATGTTATATTTAAAACATGACTATTAATAGTCCATAATAAAAATTCAATTGATCTCTGCAAAAAAAAAAAAAATCTTATTTTTTTTTAAAATTATTTATAAACATTTTTTCTTTTACTTTAATTGCCGCTTGATTTAAACCATGATTGAGACTAGTAGCATCATCATCGTCATGATTTAAATGACGAAATATACATTCTAAAATGGATGCTAATTCATCATTTCGTAAATGACAATTATTTGTTATTAATTCTTTCAATGTTTGATAAGCTTGTATATTTCGACTCATTGGACCTGTTAAAATTCCATTTATAAATTGAATAAGAAGACGAACTAAATTAAACAAAAAAAAAATTTGTTTTTCTTTTCGATATAAAAATATTAATCATCAATACTTCGTAGACGATCATCGACAAGATTCATTCGTTTACCACCATCAGTTAATAAATAAAAACATTCAAGCCTAAATAAAACAAAATAAAAAAAAAAGAAACTATTCAAAAAATAAAAATTTCTCTTTTACCATAATCCTGCATCATTTTCATTGTCGATTTTATATCGAGCAAGAAAATCAAATGAAAGCCATAAATTAAAAAATCGTCGTTGTAATTGCTTAAATATATAAATAAATAAAAATCAATATTAAAGCGCTTATTTATATTTGTATATTAATTCTGGCTAATATTTCTTTCTATTCAGTGTTAATTATTATTCTATTTCTTTTTCATAAAATTTCTACTCTAACAACATTTGTATCTGCTCATCAATTCTTTCAATGTATAGATGAACGAAAATTTTTCTTTAAATCATTATTATATATACCACATGAATGTTTTCCTAATCAAACTATTATTCATATTGTAAATATTAAATATATTATGTATAAATGTTCAAGTAGAAATTTAAATCAAGTTATAGGATTTATGAATATATTTCCATTTGAAATAGATTTTGATCAATATAAAATAGATAATTCATCATTATTTATTGATATAAAATTATCAAAAAATTTCATTCAATGGAAACATTCGAGAAAAAAATATATAAATTTACATATGAAAAGTAAAACAAAATTTAATCAATGTCAATTTCAATTACGTATAAATGATTGTTCATTATCAAAGTTTCAAAATTATACAATTATTAATCAATATTGTGAAATAAATTATGAATCAATGAAACATATTCGTCGAATAATTAATATTAGTAATGACACAAATCAGGCACTTTTTCCATTAGCAATAAATTCGACCATAGAAGTTTTTAATTCAACTGAAAAATATATAAATTATGCAATTATTCTTCTTATTAGTTCGATTCTTTTAAGTATATTAGCTTGGATATTTGTTAGTTGTATTGAACAATGTCGAAAACGAAAATCGGATGTGATTAGATCACCATCGGCAACAGATATTTCAAGCGAAAATATTACATCACATACAAATACAACATTACTCATGTAGTTCTAAAATAGTGCATAGTCCTGCGTGCATGTTTTACACCCTATGCTACCGTTGTGCTTAATCATAAATCAAACATAACAGAATAGCTACGAGAGAGAGAGAGAGAGAGATTTGTTACAAAACATAAAAATCAATATCATATTTAATTCAATACCTTGTCATTTCATCATAAAATGAATTGCTGTTTTCGTTAAATGCGCACGAAAGTTTCATTGAAAAACAAAACTGATTTTCAATCTTGATTAAATTTGCATGAAATTCTCATTGATTATTTTTTCTCTTCTGTATATATATCTAGATCTTATGACGTCCTTATTTTTATTTTTACGCTATATGACAAAATCAGGTAAATTGTAATGATTGCTATTATATTTAATGTTTGTTTTTTTTTCAGCACATTTCTCATTATGCATAAAAAACAAATCACGAATGACACAGGTAGATGATTGTTAACATCATGATAATTGACACAGACATCGATGAAATGTTCGTATCATTTTTTTCTAGAGAACTCATATCGTCAGGTAATTACTCTTTAATTATGCATATAAAATCAGTGAATAAAAAAATAAAGGATATCAATGTAAAATATTTAAAAAATAAAAGTCTACATATATGGTTTTTTGCGCTTGCCTATTATCGTTATAGAACAGAGTAGGAAGTAAAACAAGTTTAAATTCTTTTTTTTTTAGTTTGATATTTGAACAAGTCTAAGAAAAATGACATTGAAAGATTTTAATTAAAAAAAAAATGACATCCAATCAATCAGGATTTTTTCACCAATCATTAATAAATGGAACGAGTAGGGAAAATCATCATTTACATCATTCGAATACAAACCCAAAACTAAAACGAATACGAACGTCTTTTCTCAATTTACTACATTTACATCGATCAGCAAATAATATTGAAAATAAAAATATCCATCAAGAACAAGAAAAATCTTTACCACGTCGTCCATCAATTATTATATCATCTGATATAGCAAGAAGTCCAGAAAAAAAAACTGTTGCATTTGCAACTGCTTTTGATGACCTAGACAATGAATATGATGAAGATCCTTTGGTAAGAATTTATAAATTATTATTATTATATTTCAAATAGTTCAAAAACAAAATCCTTTTTTTTTTCTTGTCATTAGCATAGTCATCTTGAAAATGATACTGATGACGAAACAACATCGGAACAAGATATTATTAATATTATTCCAAACAAAGAAATTGATGATGAAACAATGGTAAAAAAAGAAATTTATTCAAAACTCTAAAAAAAAATTACTATTTTTTTAAAATTCTAATTTAGACGGATCCAAACAAAAATATCGAACCCTATCCATTTCGTTCGGAAATACAATTACCTTCATCTTCGATTGACCTTACTACTACTCATCGTCATTTGCGAAAACAAATCTTCGATCGTTTTATTCATCCTCATCATACAAAAAAACTTCATCCTATAACTGTTAGATATATCAGTCCAAACAATCGATCAATTTCAACACCGGAAATAATGATATCATCGTCCTTACCTGCAACTTCTACAAAACTTAAAACAAACGATCGACGACGATCATTAAAAACTGTTCGTACATGGTTTAAATCATTATCATTACGTCCCTTTCTTCCAAGAATTCGTAAAAGTTTACATAACAATAATCCGTCAAAACCACAAATTCCTCGTCAATCAACTGGATTACGAAGATTTTCTGAACTTGAATATTAATCGAAATAAACTTACTTCTATTTTAATTAATTCTAATATACATTTAAATGCACATAGACGAATTTCACTATTCATTAAACCTTGTTGTTCTTCATTTGTTAACAAACCTGTTATACATAACCAAATACCTCCTAAAGTTATCTATAATAAATAAAATTTATTTTATCAAAACAATACATATATATATATGTGTGTGTGTGTGTCTTAACATACAAGATCAATATCCGAATGTGTTATACATTCAAACAAATGTTTAAGTGCTTCAATTCGTTCAGCATTTTGTCCATTTGTAATACTATGAATGTACTAAATAAAATAACAATAAATATTAAGATTCAATAATAATCTTTTATGAATATTTTACTTGTGATGGATTATAAACAACAACAAAAGCTGTTGTTGAAACTGGAGGTCCAAGAGCCATTTTCATGTGCAAAAGATGAATATATTCTTTTCACACACTCACGCTCGATATAAGAATTTATTTTTTTTAATAATAGAATATTAATCTCATCTATTCAAAAAAGAAAACAATACATATATATGTATAAAAATATAAGCTATAAGTCTTCTTAATCATAAATATATAACGCCATATTAACAAACAAGAGGGCAAACGGGTACAGAAAAAGAATGCGACAAGCTGTCGTCCTTTCTCTAGCACAAAAAGAGAGAAAGGAGCTAATCAGCTGCTGTCTGTCAAATGAATCCAATAAATACCGTGAAAGAATAAAAATAAATAAATATAGAGGTCAGCAAAGACATGTAAAATTTTTATTGGACACCGTATATATATATGTATTTTAATCTCTATGTATGAAATAAGAAAACGACAAAAATATTATTATAGATTCATTCGATTCGATTTTCATTTCCATTATTCCAAATAAAATAGAATGGCTGAAATTGTACAAAATCCAAATCTTGGTACTCGTCGAAAATTAGAATTACTTTTACAAGAAATGGATACAATATGTCGTGAAATAATTTCACAATTGTATAATTCATCATCATCATCATCAACAACAACAACAACGAATAATAATAGTAATCTTGATACACAAGCATTAATTGATATGTTTATTGAACGACAAAATTATTTAACAGAACAAATACAAATTGTACGTGAACAACAAGAATTAGAACGACAATTACAAATAAAACGTGATGAAATTCTTAAATGTGATCGTGCATTACGTTGTTTACAAACATATTTATTACAAGCTGTACAAGTACTTTCATCAGCTGTTTATCAAGCACGTGAAAAATTATCAAATATACGTCGTGCTAAAACATTTCCATCAGAAACAATTATTCGTTATGCACATCAATTAGCATCATGTTATTCAACAATAGCACCAGATAATTGGCAACAAGGAGATATTCGACGACCATACCCAACAAATATTGCTATGAATCGTGGTCTTCTTGGCCGTTTAAGTGAACAAATATTACAACAACAACAACAGCAACAACAACAATTAAATATACAAAATTCAACAATAAATACAACAACAGTTGTTAATTCATCTGCACAACCAAGTACATCTGCATCGTATACTGCTGTTACAACAGCTGTACGACCACCAAAACATGATACAACATCATTTGCATCAGATATTTTTTCTACATTAAATGAAGAAACAAATACAACAAATTTGTCATCGAGTGATACAGATTCCGATGATGATTTGTTATAATTAGTTATTATTATACTTCATATTTTTTTTTTTGTAGAATATTTATCTTCATATAGGTCTTGTTATTCTTGTATTGATTCTAAAAGAATTCATTGTTTACATTTAAATATGTATATATTGATTAAATGATTTTTGACAGTTTTCTTTTCTTCATTATATTTCTTGTAAAACCCTGAAAGTTACATATTGTTGAAAAGAGCATTTATTATTGAATGATATAATTTTCTATTCATTTAGCTTGTAATTTATGATGGAAATTCTCCAACTGATAAATTGCTATTGACTGGAGACGACGTGTATTGTGTAGACTCAAATGAGCTATGAGAATATCCTGAAAAGTGTTCAGACTCTTAGCTAATTGCTGCCGAGATACTGAACTTTTATGTTAGTTTTTAGAAATAAATGCTCTGTCCACCCTGTTAGGAAAGCCTAGTTTTCGAATTTTGACGTGAAACTTTGTATAGAGGCAGACCTTAAGGAGAGTAGTATTTTGTAACAGTTTCGTCTCTTAATTTGCTTCCATCCTGAAGTAAGAATTTCGAATCTGCCAGTGTATATCACGGTGAAAAAGAATGTAGAATAATAAATCTGCATCATCCCTGTATTAGTATTATATAAACCCTTTCTATTCACAAACCTTTTTTTTCTATATGAACGGAATAAGGCATTAAGTGAAGATTTATGCTTGAACGTTTTAAATACTACTGGAATAATAAACATTTAGCCTCAAGGTTCATTCCGTTTATATACTCAATTAAGGTTTATGAACAGGAAATACTACAAGACTTAATGAAATGATAATAAAGGGAGAGTGAAGGTTTATTATTCTATATCTCTTTTTTAATAATGATGAGCGTGGTAAAACACACTTTGATCTTTGTTGTATCTTAGAATAGGAACAAGGAAAAGATCTGAAACTTACAAAAAAAACTATTGTCGTTCAGGCCTGTCTTGATATAAAGTTTGAAGTCAAAATTCGAAAATTAATTTTTCTAGTATTCCCGAGGAGAACTACGGTATTCATTTAAAACCTAACGTAAAAGTGTTATATCTACGCAGCATAAGCTATGGATCTGAACTGTTTTCAGGATATTCATAGCTCATTTAGGTTTATAGAATGCGTGAAAACTTGATTCAAAAGCAGCGTATCAGTTAGAAGACTTCCCTTTTGAATGAAAAAATTGAAAATCAGTCAAACAAAGGTGTTGTCTTTCGAACAGCTTTGAAACAGCATCTTGGGTAATTTTTATGCGCTTGAATATGAAAACTTTCTTAGGTTTTTATTGGTTTAAGTATTAAATCTTTATGACTTCTTCATTGATGTATATAATTTCAGTGTAATTTACGTGAAATCTTATAGACAAACTTTTGCGATAAAGTACAAGAACTTTACTTTATTGTTTTGAGAAGTGAAAAATGAGCTAAAGTTTAACAGTAAAATTCAAATCAACTTTGTCTGACTTGAGATACACGTTTTAGTTAGATAGATCTCTTTTGTCAAGAACGATTTTTACTATACAAAAAAAAACAAGAAAGAATAATTTGTATTAATGAAATATCATTGTGAAAATATTTCATTTCATCAACAACGGAAATTTTGTGAATAAGATGCAAGATAAACAAAATGGAAACAATTTGATTTGATCAAGTAATTAATATTTTCTTCATGCATATAGAAATAAGAAAACTTTCAAGATGTTCCAGAAATACGAAAAAAAAACAAGTAGACAAAACTATCAAAGATAACATAATCGATTTGTACAGATACAAATGTGTAGCTAAGGGGGGGGGGGGGGGAGGTCTTACGAACTAAGATGATGCATCAGATTTTCACAACAGAGGAAGAGTTTATTTTTCGCAACATTACGCTATATTTGTTTAAAATCTATAGATTGACGTTTGATATCAAATTTTGGATTGAGTTAAAAATGAACTCAAGTCTGATTAGAATTTTAATCAATGTAAAAAAATAGTGTTAGTTAAATGAAAATTTATTCACAATATTTTAAATTTAACTTCAAAGTATTAATAAGATGTCGAAACACTAATGTGTTCAATATTAAACAAACCAGTCATTTTACAATCATAAAATTTACTTTATATAGAAGACACATAATATTCTACTTGCAATTTTAAAGTACTTTATTTCAATAAAAAAAAAAACGATTTTACCTTCGTAGATCAAATATGAAGACTGTAAAGGAAAAAAACAGATAGAAGAACTACTTAGATCATATTGTTAGTTAAAATAGAACGATTATGTACAAGTTTATGGATTGGTGAGCTTCATCTACATATCCAACGAATGAAGAAAAGAAAGAAAAATAAAAAAAAGAACTGACGCAATATGAATACTAGTACACTGCATGTAAATATACAAGTATAGAGGTATACACCTCGATACATGTTATTGTATAACTATTTTTCATTCGTAGCTGGATTAAAAGATTGCTTTTCATCAGTATCTATGAATAGGCATTCAACCACATAGAATATCCACAATATTCATCTGTCAATAATGAGATGAAGGACGCATCCAGGTGAAATAAATACGTTAGTAAACACCTGTTTTTAGATGTTTTTTTTGCTGTTTAGTAGGCGCAGTATTATAATCGTATTTCACTTTATTGTAAACGGTCGGATATTCGTTTTTCAGACCGTTATAAATTGTGTATGGTGTGATAAAATAAGGTCGTAATACTACACCTACCAAACATCAATTTTTAGCTATTTACGACTGCAAATTGTATGCAACGATAGTATACAGTACCGTTTTTTGACCGGCTCGACGACTGCAATCATTGTTCTGGGTAGCCATCATGCAAAATTTGGTGAATTTCAACAAATATACATTTATTTTATTCATGAGAAGCAATTCAATTTTTGCAAAATGTATCTCTCATCATAGAAGTCGTAAGTCAAGATATCGGTAGTGTAGTTTTGATATAATGAAAGAATAGATCATAAATGTTTTAGATTGCAATTTAATAGAAGAAGCACGAGAGATCATTGACATTCGTTTAACTTTAATTGTATGATTAGAAATAGATCTTTCTCAAACTAAAAATAAAAAGAGCTCAAAAGATTTTTGAATTATAATTGAGTCACTCTATTTTGATCTAGTTTAATTGACATAAAATAAACAAACAAACAATAAATGTTTAATTTGAAATAACTGTTGGTCATTCTTATTGATATTCATTCAAGATACGATAGGAGCTATTATGAAATAAACATTTCTTATCTATTAAAACTAAGTTCTCATGAAGATATTATCACAAAGATAAAGTTAAAAAAAGCTATCAAAATATTTTTAAATGCAATGTCATAGAGAAAAATCTTATTTCATACTTTTACGACAAACATACGAACAAAACTTGTCGAAAAAAAAACAATTTTCTAAAATATGAATAGAAATATGTGAGCTGTAACACCTGTATTTATTCTTGAGTTGCTATGAAATGCTTAGTACCATGATACAATTATTATTGGTTGATATGCTCACGTGATGTCCTACTGTAAATGCTCTTTTTTTTCTTGATTTTGCCACCATTGTTACACCGCATTTTTTCTTTCGTTCTTTTCTTTTCATCATATAAAAAACAACCATATGTTTGCAATAAGAAATGCTATTAAAATATTTTTCTTTCTCTTTCTAAATCATACGACAAATAAACTGTTAAAGAAACTTCTATAGATCAGCAACACTGCAGCTCCCCCACTCTTTGATGTGTTCTGTAAATTAGGTCAATTATGGTATAAAGCGTCGTCGATCTGGAGAAAAATCCATTTGATAATTATGCATTTCTTGCTGAAGTCTTGTTTTTTTTTCTTTTTAATTTCAGATTATTTGTAAAGCAACCATGATAACTCATAATGATAAAACACTATCATTGGAATCACGAGTTGTTTTAAGTGATAAACACACTATGCCACAATTAGGTAAAATATTATATAACGGTTTTTAGTGTAAAGGACCTTGTCGGATTTTATGATCCATCTCGAACCAGTGATGTCCTGAGGGTCCTAACAGTGATTATAGCACTTAATGGATATTATATGTTACCCATCGACATTATGGTCCTTGGTATGTCTTAAGATAAACCGATATAAATTCTTTTTTAAAACTCTTTTCAATAGAGTTCTAGGTACTCTTCAATTCTCTATATTCATTAGTATTTGTCGTTGCTGTCTTTCTACATAAAAATAGTCAATTTCCACAGGCCTATGCTATTTATTGATTACAAGGCATTCCCGTGTCGTCAACCTTGTGCCACATAACAAACGGGTACCAACGTGAAACTTTCTCAAAAACTGCATATTATTGAGCTCTATATATTTTACAGTCAAGTTCTTTGGTTACAACAGGGTCCATTGTCATATTGCAAATTGACCTCCTAAAAAGACTTATTTTTCTATCTAAAGAGGCCAATATATTGACGATTTTTTAACAATATCAAACGTTTCTTAGGAAAATTTCTATGCATTGAGAATCAGCACTAGATCCCTGATTAATTAATATGGAAACCATCTATGAAAATGAAAAAACATTTTTTGGCCTCCAGATCCCTGGAGGGGGGGGGGGGGGTGCGAGGATGAGCTTATAGCAAGGAAGTCTGTATTTTCATTAATGCCTTTACAAACTTTCATTCCGAGTATGCAGGTTTGATTTGTATATGAAGCTGTATAAGAATATATGGATACCCGATGTTTATTCGAAGAGTTCATTTTTTCCTTATTCCCGTACCTCCATCCAGGGATCTGGAGGCCAAAAATTTTTTTTTCCATTTTCAAAGATGGTTCCCATATTAATTAATCAGGGATCTAGTGCTGATTCTCAATGCATTAAAATTTTCCTAAGAAACGTTTGATATTGTTAAAAAATTGTCAATATATTGGCCTCTTTAGATAGGAAAATAAGTCTTTTTAGGAGGTAAATTGGCAATATGACAATGGACCCTGTTGTAACCAAAGAAATTGACTGTAAAATATATAGAACTCAATAATATGCAGTTTTTGAGAAAGTTTCACGTTGATACCTGTTTGTTCTGTGGCACAAGATTAACGACACGGGAATGTCTTATAATCAATAAATAGCATAGGCCTGTGGAAAGTGACTATTTTTATGTAGAAAGACAGCAACGACAAATACTAATGAATATAGAGAATTGAAGAGTACGTAGAACTCTATTGAAAAGAGTTTTAAAAAAGAATTTACATCGGTTTATCTTAAGACATACCAAGGACTATAATGTCGATGGGTAACATATAATATCCATGAAGTGCTATAATCACTGTTAGGACCCTCAAGACATCAAAGTATGACGAAAACTAGTCTTCTTATATACCATTCGATGCGCTTCAACGAGCTCTACAAAACCATATATATGGCATCCTGGTTCGAGATGGGTCATAAAATCCGGCAAGGTTCTTTTTATTTTTTATTTTCTATTTTAGGTCTTGGTACATGGCGAAGTGAATCTAAACAATTGCAAAATATTGTTAAAGAAGCTATTTTAAATTGCGGTTATCGTTTAATTGATACTGCATGGATATATGAAAATGAACAGGAAATTGGTAATGGTATACATGAAGCACTTGAACAAAGTCAAGGAAAAATTAAACGTGAAGATTTATTTATAACAACTAAATTATGGAATCAGGTAAAAAACAAAAGTTTTATTCTCTAATAAATTAATTTGTTTTTTTTTCTTTTTTTTCATTATGATTTATTTATTTTAGCATCATGCACCAGATGATGTTGAATGGGCATTACGTGATAGTTTAAAAAAACTTCGTTTAGATTATGTTGATCTTTATCTTATTCATTGGCCAGTTGCATTTAAAAATATGCCCGGAAATACTTCGTCACAAAGCGAAGATGAAAAAACACGTTATTTTAACGAAAATGTAACACTTACTGATACATGGAAAGCTATGGAAAAATTAGTTGATTTAAAATTAACACGTTCAATAGGTGTATCAAATTTTAGTCAATCTGAAATTGATGAACTATTTAAAATAGCTCGTATAAAACCAGTTGTTAATCAAATTGAACTTCATCCATATTTTAATCAACATAATATGCGTGAATATTGTGCTAAACATAATATTGCTATTATGAGTTATTCTCCATTATCAAATTTAAAACGAGAAACTGAACGTGATGAAGATGTATCATCATTATATAATCCTGTTATTCAAGATATAGCAAAATCAAAACATAAATCAACAGCACAAATTATTATTCGATGGCATCTTCAAAATGGTCTTATTGTTATACCGAAAACTGTAACATTAGAAAGATTAATTGAAAATTTTGAAGTATTCGATTTTGCATTATCGGATAATGAAATGCGTCAAATTGATCGATTGGGTGAAACACATCGTCGACGTCTTGTTAATCCATCATTCCGCTTATCTAATAAACCAGTATTTGATGATTGAATATAATATTCAACATGACTTTTATTATTAAGTGTGAACAATAATTGATTCTTAGTTAGAATTTATCTTATCGAATTAATTAAAAAAGAATAAAAGTATCTTAATAAATATTAAAATAAAGATAATCGAAGAGTATCAAAAGTAGTTTATCTTAATTAAAGAAAATTTAAAGCATCATAGTAGATTAAATTTCGAGTTATTTGATTGTTGAAGATTTGAAAAACAAATCTGGTCAGTGCGATCTCATGAGGAGCCACATTGTGGAACTCACAAACTCTGACTATAACGAGTTTATGGTATATTATCAGAGAAAAATGTCGTATAAATGAATAGATCAAAATTACAATAATTTTTATATTTGTTACGAACGCTCTGAAACTTTATCATTTTGAAACTGATTGCATTTAGAATCTAGTCATGTTTTAAATTCATTTAACATCGTTATATTGAAAAAGACTTATTTGTATTGTCAGATGCATTTTTAATACACAATTTCTTTTCTCTTAATGATAATATATACTATACATGCCATAGGAAGTGGCAAATATCATTTTATTCTTTGTTTCATCAGTTCAACTACCTTATTAGCCTTGTTCAGTAATCTTTCAAGCACATCATCCTTTCTCTAGATGAATTTTGACATATATTATTGGATTTTGTCTAAATTGAGAACCCAATTAGTTCATATTTTTCTATGTTCATCCTATTCTGACTCTGCTAGATCAATAATATCACCACCATATTGATTGACATCTGCAATAAGATTCTGTCGCTGCATTACATACCAAAAGTCGCTTTATTTAGTCTAAGTTTATTCATAGAATACTTTGGAAGATTCTAGAAAGTTCCCAAGTGCTGGACCAATTTTGAGTCGAGACTTTACGCATCTTGTAGACCTTAATGAATAATGTCCATCATAAGAACAAGCTGAGATTTTCTTCATGCATAGTTGAACTCATGTGGTAGATAATATGACAATATGAGTACAAACGAGCTTAGAAAAGCAGAAGTATTCAGTTTTAGAAAATATTTTGTCAGATTCAAGATATTCATCGATATCATGATCGTTAATTCATCTGAAATATGATCAAATGTAATTTCATTTTCTACAGAGAATCAATGGCAGTTGATAATTGAATTAAATACTCCAGCTAAATGGTTGGCAACCTTTTGTTCACGTCGAGTTGTAATTGAAAGATTAGAATTTGCAGATACAACCGATTGAGAAAACTTCGTTGTACGGAAGCGATTACTTTATATTTAACTCACAATATAAGCACTGCGGCAGATATCAGAGTTAAGAAAAAATAAATATATTATCGTAGGAAACCACAATTATCAACCATTCAAAGACATTTAAAATAACACTAACATTTTCTAAAACTGATAGCTCTGCTTTTCTAAGCTCTCTTGTGCTCATATTGTCACATTATCTACCACATAAGTACAACTATACATGAGGAAAATCTCAGCTCATTTCAATCTATATTGACTGAGTTAGTGATTTTTTTTTTGATAGGATAACTCTTATGGCTGTAATAGTAAAAACGTTCGATCTCTCTAGAAACAAGCTAGGAGTACGAACTCTTTTTATGGTACGCATAATTCATTAAGATCTACACGATACGTAAAGTCTCGGCTCAAAAGCTCTCGGACATTTGAGAATGTTCTCTTGTTAATAGTAAGTTATAAAATAATTGATAATAAAAATCAGATAAAGATAATATATCATTCTATCAACAATTATTCATTCAATTCATTGAAGATATGAAAAGAATGAACTAAAAATTGTGCAAATTTCATCTGAAATTTTCTCTATAAATGTATGTATAGAAACTTGTTCAACAAGACATCTTAATCTACGAAAGAAATTCTGCTTCCAATTGTGTCAATAGTAAAAGATATTCGAAAATTTTTCTCCGTAAAAATATATAAAACTAAGACATATGTTAGAAGCATGTATTTATCTAAAGCGAAAAGATCAATCAATTTTTCTTTAATATAAATGAGTCAATGCAATGTTATTCATCCATAAAATAATTGTCGTGAGTTGAGCAATACACATAAATTAGAAATGAATTACACTTGTTCATAAGATCTATCAACATTTTTTAAAGATTTAATTCAAAAAAACATTAAAAAAATTACGTCGTACAGAAATATCCATTCAGCGTCATTGACTCTAAACAATTTATCAATTACGGCATTGTTTTACTCAATAACTTGATTATAATATTTTGTTTTAAATAATAATTCAAAATTTTATTTCAAATACAGTGGGTCCCAAAATTGTTCAACAAGATGTAATTTGGATTTTTTTTCGTAGTCTTAAGTGCTAGAAAGAATCCAAATAGTGATTTGAATAGAGAATATTGTTGCCAACAAGAATTCGACAAAATGGTAACCATCATGAGTTTTCCCAAAGTAGGGTTTCTGGAAAACCTAAATCCTAAGTTTTCAACGTCCAAAAGGCACAACAGAAAACTTTTTTTAACAGTCTAGAATTATAGAGCAGCCAATTCTTTGCAAAATAAGACGTCTCCGAGCTTTCTAAGACCTTCTCTCCAAAAGTTATAAGCATCACAAAAATCGCAAAAATGCGTTTTTTAGTTGATTTTCCCATAAATTTCACTGTTTTTCGATTTTTGTGATGCTTATAACTTTTGAATGGAAGGTCGTGGAAAGCTTGAAGACATCTTATTTTGTAGAGAATTGGCTGCTCTATAATTCTAGACTGTTAAAACAAGTTTTCTGTTGCGGCTTCTGGATGTTGAAAAAGCAGGGTTTTGGTTTTCAAGAAACCCTACTTTGGGAAAATTCACGATATTTACCATTTTCTCGAATTCTTGTTGGCAACAATATTCTCTATTCAAATCACTATTTGGATTCTTTCTAGCACTTAAGACTATGAAAAAAAATCCAAATTACATCTTGTTGAACAATTTTGGGACCCACTGTAAGTTGCTGAATTCTCCATGTTGTGGTGAAGATTATATTTTGCTAAATCTAATCATTAGAAGATATTATTAATAGATTTCGATTAATAATTAAATTCAAATCCGATTTAAATAAAATAGTAAAACGAAGAAAATAATTCTTGTATTCATATAAAATAAAAAATTAAATATAAGCCGAATAATATACAGACAAAATCGATAAAATATTTTTGAAATAAATGTATTCAAAAAATCATAAATAATAAATACAAAATATACCGCATTCGTTCATAGGCTGTCATGGTAGTATCGCAAAACTTACTATCATCATATTGATTAGAATAATCAAGAAAACGTGATAAAATTCAGTATTGTTCATCTTGCTATTTGCAGTTATTTTAATCAAGTTCCTACATTAGACGACCATCAAGTCTCAAGGAATTTTTCAAAAAAATGTCGTTCTTGATGAATCTTCTACTACTTGTTTTTTTAGTCTTTTTTTTCGAAAATAGTAATAATAATTTTAAACTCATTATATATATATATACTGATTATCATATTGCAATTTAATAACTATGAAACACTTTTATAGAGTAGCATCAACTAATCATTATTGACAACTTCATATATATATTTATTCCTTCAATTTTCTTATCATAGCTGTTTTTTATCAAAACGAAGAAAAAAATAAAAGATTGCCATAAACATGAGTAATATATTGATGATTAAGAAAGCTTTTAGTAGAAGCAAGAAAATACTTCACTATGCGAAAATAATCATATAGTTGGGCAATTATTTTTCGATTGCTCTCTGTTACAAGTGTTTTTTTTTACTTGGCAACACATAACATACATCTTATTTGGAAATATTCTAAAACTGAACTTGAAACTAAACAAACAAATGTTCTGCAGAAGTTCAAATAATTGAAGTATTATTAATGTTGCTAAGTAATATAAATGATAAAAACAGACATAGTTAGTTAAATAAAACTAAAAAGATTATCAAAAATTCAAAATAATAGCGATTTAAAATTTATTTATTTATTTCTATGTGCAACAAATATGAGATCCGAAATCAAAAAGCAGAATGTTATAAAAACAGATTATCACCGATTGTAAATAATTTTTGAAATAAAAAAAAAAAAGGCAAGTTTATAATAATAAAGTATATGTGTATATAAATATTCTGTTTCATAATTTAAAGCACTACGAATTTATTGTCGACATACGTTGACGACATATAGGACAAATGCGTGTTATTCGTAACCAATTAGCAACACATTCAGGATGAAATAAATGTCCACATTGAAGCTTTTTTAACTGCTCATTTGTTTCAAAATTGGTTCGACATATAGCACTAAAAACAAAAACAAACAAACACAAAAAAAATTAAATCTTAATAAAAAATCTGTCAGAACAATGCTTATGAAATTAAAAATAACAAACACATTCTAATTTAAGTCAAAAGTGTTACACAAATTTATTTACTAAATATTGTGAGTAGTATCGTGCAACCGGGTCAATTCAGGTCCCAGGTATGAGACCATACCTCGAACTCGTGTAGGCAATTAATAAGATCTCAACGTTTCAAAATATTTTTACTTTTTGAAATTGTTAATTTATATAAAAGCATAGAAGTGAAAATCTACGCAATTTATTGTACATTAGAATAGGTCACAGAAGTAGAAAGCAATATTGTTTTCTTTTCAATGAAAATTCATCTACAGATGATGATGAATCATATGACAAAGTAACTGAATACATGAGCAGGAAAATGCATTATTAAAAAGGTGAACATGCATTATCATGATGAAAAAAGTATTCATCTATGCCTCTACAATTATGACTTTTGACGTCAATACTATGTTCCATTTCAGTATCATCAGAAATAAGCAAAGATATACTTATCGAAATTGATCGGATTTTAGAAGCAGAAAGACATTAAGTGAATTGCTTTTATGTAGAACTTGAGACCATATCTTTTTTTTATTGTTGCTACTCATAGAAAAAACTCAACATTATACTTTTTCATATAAAATAAAAGTTTGAAAACCATATTCTGACTATAAAAGTACCTGTTAGATGCCGATTAGCTTCGATTCGGGTCTTAAAAAAAAGAAAGTGTTGGTTTGGATTCGATTACGAAAAGTCGGGCCATGCAACATTTTTCTCATTAAATTATTAACAAAATAAAATCAAAATATTAATTATATTTACCATTCAGTTTGATTAAATTGATCAGGTTCTTGTGCAAATGAAATCACAGGTACAGCATCAATATTTTCCTGTGTTGCTGGTGGATTTGGATTAATTGTCATTGGTCCAGCTGTTCTCCATCCCTTAAGAAAAAAAAAACATGCAAAATCAAAAAATATTTTCATCAAACAATCTTTTTCCTATATTTATTTACTTGAAGTAATTCAAGAATAGGTACAGTTATCGATGCTGGTAAACAATAACTTAAAATAATACCAAAAAATACTCCTAAACAGCAGATTATCATAATTAATGGTATAGCTATTAATGGTGATAATATTCTTATCCATTCCCATATTAATAATACACGATATAAATTTGGTGCATATTCTCGACATTGTTGACCTGAACGTGGTTGAAATAAAAATAAACCTCCTATAGAAAAATAATAAATAACAATAATTGTACCAATATAATTTAATATATATTGTAATGCATAATAATATATATAAAATTGTCTTTGACGATTTAAACGAAAATAAAGTTGATTTAGAGTTAAATTTATAATATGCAATATTGTTGTACAACTAAATAATATTAATCCAACAAATGCATATGATTTTAATGGTGAACTTAAATAGAAATCTTCTGTATTATTGTATATACATGTTGGATGTTCAACATTTACCATAGCATTTGCTACTGTACCAATATATGTACAATTAATAACTAAAACAAATAAAAGAATTAAACATTCAACAATTAATGAACGTCGTATAGGTAGTTCAGGTTTTGTTGGTGGTATAAGTATAAGTAACCATGTACTTAAACAAACAATACCAAGACAAAAACGCATTAATTCACATTCATTTGTATCGGGTAATGTTGATGAAAATGAATAAGCTGTACCAAAACATACTGGAATAATTTTAAAAAACATAAAAAATCCACGTATCATTGATACATGACGTAATTGTTCTAATTTTTGTTCTTCAGTTAATTGTGAATTGCGTAATGAAAGATTACGTAATAAAAATAATAGAATTATTAATAAATCAATAAAACAAAATATTAATAAACATATTGATGTTATAGCTAAACGATTTGATAGATCACATTTAGGTTTATTTGATGTTAAACCAATTAATAAAAGTATTATATCAATCAGACGATATATTAAATGAAGTAAACTGCCAGAAAATATACGGTCAAGACTATGGAATGTATTTATCCATGTTGTATCATTTGTTGTTGTTTGATTAGTTGATGATTGATTTACTCGATTTTCTATATTATCAACTGAACTATTACGATAAGTTGTTGATATTTGTGAAATTATACGATTAATACCACCACCACTTGATTCACCACTATCAATAGGCGAGGTTGACATTTTAGACGAAGAGCTTTAAATAGAAGAAACTGAAATAATAATTTAAAAAAAGTGCGAAAAAAAAAACATAAATTAATGATAGACGATGTACTTCTTCACACATCATTTACAAATAACCTATAGGAGAAATGAGTAATGATGTTACATAATTTAAGTGGGCAAATGGATATGAATGTGTCATACGGTTATAAAAAATCTGTTATCTAGTGTACTAATTTTACTGGAAAAATGAGTTTATATAATCATAGAAAATGATTTAGAAGTCAACTATACTGTTTCGCAATCTAAAGGCTTCTCGTTGAATTTGTTTGTTTTTGGATTCTTTCATGTTAAAACAAATTCCAAATAGATTTCCAAAAAAATATTTAAATGAATAATCAAAACAATCGACTGGATTTTCCTTTTTCGATACTTAAATAATAAAAAACACTCAATTCTGCACCAAGAAAGAAAATAAAGAATATATATTGGCCCAATCGATTTCAATATGTTTTAAAAAAATTTTAATGAATATACTTTTATGGAATATCATCAGAAAAGTATTTTAAATTCGAATTTGATATAATACAACGGAAAAAACGCCATTTTCATACTTCATGTCAAATTACCCAACTGAATTTCAAATTATGAATATTTTAAAAAAAACTAACTTTCATAGGCTTATTGTTAACACCAATCATTTGAATAACAGAAGATGTCATTACAATCGATATTTTAGTTTGAAAAAAATATTAGATTATTATATATTTCATGAAAAAAAAACAAGTGTAACTATTGAATTTTTTACCTAATGAAGAAAAACGAAGAATTCGAAACAAAAAAAAAAACAGAACCAGTTCGAAATGAACGTTGATATTCTCGCTGTTTGTTGTACACATTCAGTTGATAGACTTAAAATTCAATTACAAACTCAACAAAAAGCTGAATATAGCTTTATTTGTAAATAAAAGCTATATGACTAGATACAAAAAAAGAAAACATTAAAGTGGTTTCTGATTTCTTTTTTAAATAGCAATGGCTATTAAAATTATATGTAACGATGGATTTTTTTAAAAACTTTATAATGGTTTATCTGCTGCCTGTCTTCGTCAAACAATCTATACAACAGCACGGTTTGATATATGGTATAGTCAAATCATTAAAAAGTAATACAAATTTAAATTTTTTTGAAAAAATTTTTCTTGCTACTGTTTCTGGTACCGTGGGAGCTTGTTTTTTATCTTCTCACTTGAAATTTTGATGATAAACATATTTTTTAACTAAAAAAAACTTAGATGCACTGACTGATCTTGATAATATTCGTATCCAAAATGATTGTAAACAACCAAAGGAAAAACGAAGAAATTGTAAACATGCTATTGATGATATTGCGCAAATATGTCGAGAAGAAAGTTTAGTAAAATTATTTAATGATAATATCAGAAATAAAAGAAAAAGAAACCCAACCTTATGAATATTTTCATTCAGGTGCATCAATAGCTGTTATTCGACTAGCTCTTGTTACAATAGAACAAATAGCTTTTTTTTATGAACAAGTTAAAGAAATATTATTAGCTAATAGCTATTTTGAAGATAATATGATTACTCATTTTAGTTCAAGCTTTCCTGCTGGTAATATACGGTGACTGTTAGTAGAATTTACAATAGATATATTAACGTTAGAAAGAGAAAGTTTTAGTAAAAATCTTGAAGATTTTTGACTTACTATTTACTTCCCAATTGTGTTGTATGAGAACGAGAGAGTTTTAACCTCTATATGTGAACACCTCGCTATTATGAACGCTTCTAGTCGGTCCCAAAAATCGATTTTTGCTGGAAATAGACCTCTTCTTTATGGATACCTTCTTATTATGAATGCTTTTTACTGATTCAGAAGGTGTTCAGATTGGAGAGGTTTTACTGTATCATTATAGGCAGAGCAACAATACTATTAATAATGCCACTTAATGTCATGAAAACTCGGATGATGAATGCACCATCTGGCATATATAATAACTTAATGGACTATTTTAAGGATATATTTACAGTTGGCCCAAGTGCATTTTTTAAAGGATTTGTACCAACTTTTATTCGGCTTGGTAAAAGGAAAAACAGAAGAGACATTCAATTTTTTTTAGTATAATATTTGTTTTTATTTCTAAAATTTCTTAGGTCCACATACAATTTTAATGTTTATTTTTCTTGAACAATTGAAAAACATTTTGGTTATATACAAACAGATAAACAATAATTGTTGTTTGATTTCTAACCGAATAAATTAGTCAATATACCTGCATCTAAAAAAAGATCTATTTCATAATACATGCAAGCTCATAATATTCTCGCTCAATTTTTTATTTGAATAATTTTTTTTTTATTTACACGTACAACATGCACAATGTTTCATGGTGGACGATTGCATATTTATCATTGTTTTCATTTGTTTTAATTGAATATGTAGAATAATTATGATGATGATAATCAATAGAAAACAATAAAACACGAATAGATTATACTTCCACCATTGAAATAAATAAATAAATAACAGAGAAAACTGATTTTGTAATAAATCAATAGTTTCTATGACAATCATTTAGTCTATACAATGGCTAAGTTACATAGAAAAAAATGCAATTTCAAGCTTTTTATTTTTAGTACGCAGATTAAAATATTATATGTTATATAATAGGGTAATAAATACTTAGATTATGATAACAAATTGTTTATCGAATAACATTATAAGATAGTATCCTGTAAGTCATATTTTACATTACAGAAATAATCAAGTAGTATCAAATGCGCCTAATATTTTTTTGAGAAATGTTTATAAATATTTTATTTATGTGAACTAAAAATTTAATAAATGAACTTGTGATTTATCGACTATAAATAAACGAACTTAACAATGAACTTTTTTCCTTTTCTTGAATAATTGTTTTTTTTTTGAATTTGATGTAATAATGGTAACTAAGAAAAAAGTTTTATTATAAATCGATTGTCATTAAATTCTTCATTTTCTTCAACCTGTTATAAAGATGAATAATCATCGTCTGTACTTCTTCTCATATCTCCCATATAGAATCTTTTATTCTCTTCCTCTAGATTCTAGTAAATTGTTTTTAATTATTTGGAAAGACAAAAGAATCATGTAACCAAGCAAAAAGAGAATAATTTCGTAGCCGTATCATCTTAGACCGAAAAAAAAATTTAATCAAGTCTATTCTTAAGTTTTTTCAAGGCGAAACTCAGGCATTTTGTGCTACAACTAATTTAATTCAAAAAAAATACACTTAACAATCACCTTAATGAGAATACTGACATATTGATAACTTGAAAAATTATATTTTCAGACATAAATTACAGAATAATACTTATGACATTCGTTGATCTTTTTCTTCAAACGATCTCAGTCTATTTATGTTCTATTCTATAGAAGAAAGTATTTTTAATATGTTTACTGGATATGAGTAATATAAAACAAACATAATGAAAGTCGTCATGGGTGAGCAGCTACGTTGATCGACGCATGACTACAACGTTTGTTCGATAGCATGCTGATTATGTTGTAATATACACCTGCTCTTGTGGTTAGTTAGTTTGTATGGGGAGCTCAAGCAATTGAGTGTAGGAATTCTGTGATCAGACCGACCTCCTCACCAGAGCTACAGTTGGTATTAATTATAAGGACTATATCGGACTATTGAGTCTGCCGCTAGGCAGCACATCATACAGTAAGATATCCGCAACAGAGGAGTATTGTTCCTTCCTTCCAAACAAAATGAATAATGATGTAATCAATAAATTGCACTGTTTCTTTCAAATAAATAAAATGATCATATGTTTTTGTACAACATGTAACAGATTAATAGAATACACATATCTAATTATTTTCTATAACATGCTGGAATAAAAAAATAAAAATTATTCCTATTCATAATGTGTTTATATGGTATTTTTTTTAATACTCCAGATCAATTTTCAATGTAATGGTAAATAGCTGAAATACCTTAATAAAGAACTTATGGTGTATTTTCTTACATACGTAGGTTTTTTAAAATTTTAATTCAAAATAATTTTTGACAGATAATCTAATGTGTTTATATCTTAGTACACGCGACAGTCATAAAAGATTTTCTTTAATAAGACAACAGCTAACAATGGAAGTAGTTTTTCATAAGTTGTTTTTTCAATATCAAATAATGGAATATTATTGTCTTTTTTTTTGTTGGATTTCCAAACTCTTCACTGTTTGCATTTGAATGATATATTAGAGCATTTGAATTTTCTTGAATTCATTTCTTTCTATTAACAAACATATACCAGTACAAAGTCCAATGATTTATATAGAAAAAAACTGAAAAACATTTTTCTTTAGGGTAAATACATTACCAAACTAGATGGTACACGAACCAAGCCCGTGGTACAAACTCGGTACGAAGCACATTCCCAAACTGGACTTATCGTTTATGAAATTATAAAACTAATACATATTTCATTGTATACACCACATATTAGTTATTAGAAAACAAACTGAATTTTATGTTAATTGAAAATCAATAGGTGTTATCTCAAAGCCCATGAAAAGATGAAGCAAAATAATGCTGTTTTCCTGCTTCCCCTTCTCTTTGGATTTAATGTCACGAGAATTCATAAGTATTCGTCGATTTTGAGTACTTGTCACTAGTACTTGTGCTAAAATCTGTGTGTCTGAGTACGACAATTGGTTACTCGTCGTGTAACACTGAATGTTTCATGGGTACTCTATATAGTTTTTGTGTATTCTAGTGATTTAGCTAAAATACTCATAAGTCTATGTTCTGTTCAGTATTGCCGTATTACATATATTTTATTTAGATATAAAACTAAATACAGACAAACATAATGAATATTTGAAAAAACAATGAAGATAAGAACTACAGCTATCCTTTTATCTTTACACTTTTTTAAAATAAATAATAGGTCTAGAGAAATCTTCATTGTTAGAGAAGAAAGTGAAATATTTGTTTATTTTTATACGATAAAAATAAGATTTTATTTATTTATTTATTTAAAAGATCAAAGAAAAGAATAAAATTCTAAAAACAAGAAAATTATTTTTAATAAAATATTTAATGGACAAGAAATTGTACAATTACATGATCTCTAATTTTGTATTATGAGCAATCATTTCTGTCCTACAATTCCATATTCTGTTGTGTATTTTTTTAATAATAAATTTTCCTGATATAAAAATAAAGAAATATCTAATTTTCTTGATTAACGACGAAGATGTCTTTATCTCTATCTCATAAAGTAAAAGTACACTAAAATACAGATTGAGCACAGTAAAATATAGGAATTTATCTTATGGAAATGACAATAAAGATTATGAACATTCATATCAAGAAAAATGGCGTATAGTTTCACCTCGTAAAATATTACCAATGATTTTACTTAATAAATCATTATTATCAACAATTGATTCAGTCATCAATATTGATTTATTAAGAACAACTGCAGTTGGTTCAACAATTTTACATTTTGGAATAAATAATAGATTTAATATTACACAATGATATATTATGATTGGATATATTCATCATACACGATATTTTCATGTAGATTAACAAACAGATCATTTAATTCTTATACGGTCCTATTGATGAATTAATTCATCAAACGAGTATAAATGAACTTCGTATTAATGTACTTAATGATTGAATTTATATGAATGCAATTAAAGCAATCAAAAAAAAATCTTTAATTTTCTTTATTCAATATGAAAAATACTCCAATAGGTGTTGAAATTGTACGTCTAACTTCCAGGTTCAATAACTTTTATTAATTCATTAGTGCAGAGTTTCAAAGTCAAACATATGTTACGTGTGTGGGTGTGCGGTGTGGATCGTAGATGAACTAGTTTAACTAATTCAGATTGAACCGGACTAGTCAGTATACAGGTTCAACCGGTAAACGTTAGTTCACTGATGGATCAGTCAGTCTAAAATCCGTATCGGTACTGGTTGCATCTCTATAGTCGACCAACTGGTTAAAGGGTAGGCATTTTGAAGATGAGAGATGCTTGCCTTCATTCATTTTTTATGTAATTAGACTGTTTAAAGCTCAACAGTTATTTCTAATAGGCTCAGGAAAAAGATCGGCCGACATCGGTTCCATCGATGGTGCGAGCGTGGTTTTGGGTTGTGGGTTAAGAGAAGATCAACACTTATACTCTGAACATAATTATCATATAGCACATACTAATTTACATATAAATGTACTTGATGAAAAAAGCTCATTAAATCAAACAAATAATGGTATGTGGGTGTGGGTATGGGCGTGGACGGTCATTTCAATAGTAGCTACACCCACACTCAATCTCTGAAAAAATAACACTGATGTTAATACACTGTTGATCACTCCATCGTTTTTTTTTGAAAGAATAAATCAAATCGTCGGAAGATAAAGAGAGCAGAATAAAGCTCATCTTGAGCAATGAAAAATAAAGTCACTAGTAATATTCTATGTATATTAGTTTTTCTTTTTTTTTCTCTCTTAAAATTTCTTATGTCTTTTCATTTTCTTCTCAAACACTTATTCACTATCTAAAGATATATTTGGTGATATTATTTCGAATCGTGTGTATTTTTAAAGTTCATTTAGATGTCTTGTTCAATTACAGCATAAGTTCAATTCGGTGAAGAGATCGAAATCGTTGACATTTACGTTGGTTGTAATTTAGCTGAAGTACATTCTCAATTTGTAGTACTATTGTATTTGGATCCATCTCATTGTATTACCCAAGTATTCGAATCGAAAATGTTCAACGAATATGTTAATCTTTCAAAAGTTTCCTTATTGAACAATATGGGTTTAGGTCGGCTTCGAATTGTTTCGAAAAAGGTATCTAATACTTTATTTTCACTAGTGAACAAAGGATATTGTCCATTTCAAGTTGATGCAACGAATGCACAAAGCACATCAACTAATTATACTCGCGTGGCACCACTTGCAAGTCTTCACAATGCATCACCACAATGTCTAAATCAAACAACATCATCATCAAGTACTTTTAATTCATCACAGGTTAATAATAATCATCGATTATTAAGAATAATTTTTACTCGATCTTTTCATATAGGACAGTTTATCAGTATTGTACAAAGATCCTGTCGATCGAATGAGTTTCGACGACGAAAATAATTATTCAGAGTTGAAGTCGTTTGATTCTGCCGAAGAACCTATAAACTTTCAACAAGATAGTAATGGCAAGCGTGATTTGGTGCGTAGAGTCATGATTATTTTAGCTTCTTGTGTAATGATGCATGGCATCATTGATTTTTTCGTAAACTTAAATTACATTAATAAATTAAACATTAGCTTATAAAAATCCACCTATGCATTTACGTCATTAGATTATCATTTATTCTATGCTTTAAGATAAACTACATGTACTACCATCTTTACCATCACCTGATATTTTACCACCATTTTCTATTTATATAAGAAATGCCATCTCTACAGGTAATTCAGATAAATGTTTTAGTTACATTTCAAAAACTAATTTCAAATGCCTAGGTTTGATGCAATCTGTAATGCAAGACGTAGTGCACATGCTGGCTTCACATTGGATTGGCTTCAATATCTCGTCGAAAACATATTACAGTCAAATTCGTGCTGATTTTGCCAAAGAATATTCAATGAACGAATTTAAGGACAACCGAGTTCTTTTTTGTCTATTATTCTTCTGTGATTTCACTTATCGAACACCTATGAAATATCTTTTTAGGATCTTCTTATCCAAAAACTATCTCGCCGACTACATGATTTACGAAGTCGAAAGAAGAAAAACAAGTTTTATGAGCACTTAGCTCTCGACTGGGATAGTAATCGATGTAAAGACAGTGTTAGTCAAACGAATCCATCGGTTGTTGATCAAATAACAATTAGTAAGTTCATCTTTGCTACTTACATAATAAAAAGATGGTTAACTAACAAAACTGAATCGAAAGAATACATTAAAAAGTTGAGCGATGCATTTCACGACAATGAAATAACAACAAGCAAAACAACTTAACTAATTGTTGAGTCATTTCGTATTCGTCGTACTTATTTACGACTTGGCCAAAGTATGCAATATGTTTGAAACGAAATGCCTTTTACACAACATATAACATTTGTAAGTGTTATTTTTTATGTTGATCCTGTTCTTGTTTTTCTTTTTAAAGATCAAATTGGAATTCGAACTTGTTACCAAAGTGTCTTTATTGATTGCTACTCAATGTATTCGAAAGTGTCTCGATAACATTATTTTTAATGAAATCTACGGTGAATTACCTGATGTGAATGTAATATAATCATAGGATTTGAACAAAAGCAATAAAGATTTCAGAAAAAAAATTAAGTAATTCTCCTAATTAAACAGATACATCTGTTCTCTTCACTATTTTATTTGAGATCTATGAATAGTTTATCTTTCACATTTTCATACACGAAACTAAACAACTGCTCTCAAACTTTTTCTTAAGAATTGATCAAATACTAACATTTGCGTAATTTAAACATTCGTAGCTTTCTCAAATTTCAAGTGTATTACTAAGAAAAGCTAAGAATGAAATTGGAAAAAGTCATTCTTCAAATTTCATGATATTGATGTGCTATTCATTCGATAACAATCCTTCATATTATTTAGAAAGACGAAGAATTATTGACGAGAGTTGTTGCTCGTATGGGAGCATGTTACACAAACATAATCGTCAAAGAAAAAGTTGGAAGAAAAATATTTTAATTAACGTAGAATCCTAGAATGATTCACTTGATTCTTTGAGTAATTTTATTATTGATTTTTTTTTCTGCAAATAATATAGTGTGCATTGTGATTCATTATATTTTGTTCGACATGTTTAT